ACATTTTACGAGGAAGTGGTTTTAGGCTTGGTGGGATGAGCATTTCGCACTTTGTTATTATAAGTTTATGATCGGACGAACCAAGTGGAGCATCTACTTGAATTGTGTACGAGTCAGGATTGGTGGTTAGGAACAAGTCTAAAAGCGCTGAAAATTCGCCCCTTTCTGAGATACGGGTAGGTTCATCGAAAAGCTGCGTTAGACCACAACTTATGGCAAAAGCTTCTGCTTCTCTGCCTTCGTTATCTGTTTTGTTGTGGTGTTTCAGCCAGGGTATATTGTGGACGTTGAAATCGCCTAAAAAGACAATTTCCGCCTGTGGATAGTTTGACTGTATACTATCACAGCTTTCGGATAATGTCGCGAAAAAGTTTTGGTAATCGGTGTTACTTGGCGGTCGGTAGAGGCAGCAGATAAACTTGGTCGATGACTTTGAGGTGAATTTTAGCCATATGATATCAAGGTTCGCTGGTTCTAGCTTCTCCTCTCGATAACATGAAAGGTCATTTTTAATGTACACACAGATCCCAAAATTATGTCGAAATCGGTGGTGTAGGTCATAGCCGGGATAAAGATAGTTCACAATAGGTGTTGCAGAACTGATTTTAGTTTCAGTGAGAACAAGGATGTCAGGTCTTTGTTCTTCAAGATGTTGGTGAACTGAATTCATATTTGTACTTATTCCTCTTATATTGCTAAAATCAATTCTGAGTTGAGTTTTTGATCTTCTCTTTATATCTTTGCATGAAGGACCCCCAGCATCACCCGACGCCCGGAGATCCGAGTGGTCGGGTATTTTACCTCCGGAATATTTTGATCCTGGAGGCGCCATCATGCTATCTGTTACTCATTGTTGGAACCGGACTGCCAGCGCAGTAGCGGAACGTGATGATACCACTTAGCACTACTCAATTCTGGCATGGTGGTATCTCACCGGTCGACGCCCAATGAGTAAAAAGCATCTACCACCTACCGCGTAGTAGCATCAGCGAAGATGAATCCGATGACGAAATTATATTATTTGAATGAATTCTACAGCTTATCTAGGTTGTTTTTAGATATACATATTATTTATTGTTGTTTAAAAATATTGTCTGATGAATTACTCTAAATTATTTATAGATAGTCCAATTTCTTTTAAATTTAACGGCGGGTGGAACCGCGGGGAAGAAGCTGTTATGTTATGTTATTATCTGAACCATCGATCTAAATTTTTGAGATGACTTCTCCATTAATTCTAAATATGTACATCCATTTTTAAAATAAACTGCTAAACAATTGCTTTCGAGCAAAGACATTTTTTCGCCTAACTTTCCAGCTCAATATTTTTGGAACCAGACCAAATATCGACCTCCGACCTCCGGTTTTCACGGACTGACAGACTGACTTTTTGTGAACAAAATTGCTACATGGAACAAAGGTCGATAATTTTGGTTCCAGAAATATCGAGCAAAAGTTAGGCGATACAGCAGAACGACAGCGCAGACTAAACTCGAGACTTGAATTGACTAAACTTATAAATATAATTAAAATATGCAGAGAAGCAGAAACCGGCAAGTGCTAAACAAAAACAACAAACTGAACAAACCAACATATGATTTTACATAACCTCAAAAAAAGTTTAGGGATTCAAATGTCATTGAGGGAATCCGAGTGGATTCTAAAATCACGAGACGCAACTCCGACTGGCCCTGTCGTCTCGAAAGTATGTTTCCAATAAGATTCCAACCTAGGATCGTCAAAAAAAATGGTCTCGTTGTCGAATCGTGATTTTAGAATTCCCGAACCTGCACTTTTGTTTTCGATTTAAACTACACTGGTGTGCGTTTTTGACATCACCAGAAAAATTCTCGTGCGCACTGAGACGACAAATGGAAAACGCCATAAAATTCTAAACCAGTACGATTCAGATTCCAGAGCTGAGCATGCGCTCTACGACAGTCCTCAAGAACCTATATGAATTGAAATTTGAAACCCAATAAGGGAACTGTCTATCTGTTTCATTCATATCTATCGATATCTATTGATTTTTTTTTTAAATAAATGTTAAAAATTCTCCGCAGTGTATTTTCTCAATACTTAGTACCTATACTACCCAGGACGTAAATATTTTTGAATTAATGCCCAAATTATATAGGTATTTCGAAAATGTATTGAAAAAATTTCAAGCAAAAACCAAAGCATCAAAAAATATATCTATTGTTACTTTTGAGAAGGCGGTGGAGGGGCGCCAAAATTTGGACTTGCCTTGGGCGCCGAGGGTTCTAGTTGCGGCCCTGACCATAAGTGAGATTCCGAATGTAAGATTGCAAAATGTTGTTGACTAATAATTGAAAAAAGGCTCAAATATAATAGAAATGTTATTATAGCGCTTATAAATTATTTCCTGAAAAAAAAAGAAGTCCAAATAATTTTATAGTTACTTTACGAAAATATTTTTTTATTAATCAACTAATATAAAAATTTAATATGGTTTAATTCATCATCTTCAGTTGAAATCTTGTAATATAATAAAGTAGGTAATAATTTTATTTATTTATCATCGTCTGAATCCTCTTCGTCACTGTCAGTCATTCTTTCGCCCTCTTCGTTATCACTCTAATTGTGGTTGGTCATTTATACAAAATGAGTATGTCCATTACTGGTACGATGGTCCCGAATGCCCAACTTTTGAAGAAATATATGTTGGTGCGTATCAATAATTTTCCTCAACATCGGAACCTATAGATTTATATTTTTATTTTGTTACAGACTCAAATGACAATGAGAGTGATAGCGAAGAGGGCGAAAGAATGACTGACAGTGACGAAGAGGATTCAGACGATGATAAATAAATAAAATTATTACCTACTTTATTACATTACAAGATTTCAACTAAAGATGATGAATTAAACCATATTAAATTTTTATATTAGTTGATTAATAAAAACATATTTTCGTAAAGTAACTAGAATTATTTGGACTTCTTTTTTTTTCCAGGAAATAATTTATAAGCGCTATAATAACATTTCTATTATATTTAAGCCTTTTTTCAATTATTAGTCAACAGCATTTTGCACTCTTACATTCGGAATCTCACTTATGGTCATCAAATGTTTTTATGGAACTGAATTTGTAAAGTTGTCCTTGAGCTGAAAAGAAAGGAACATTTTATGGAATGTATGACCCGTGCTATGAGGATTCATAGCGCTAAAATACCATTTATGTGAGGAGACAGAAAAAGTTTAGAAAATAATTTTGGTTTATAGTACCTACATAATGCGCGTACAAAGCGAATGTGAATAATAGAATGTCTCGAAACATCAATTGTTAAATGTCTATGTAATGTTTTAATAATACATCCGTACCATGTTTTTATGACATTATGGCCTTTTTCTTCTTGCTAGTTTTTACATGTCATCATGTACATATATAACCTAAAATCATAAAACCGATATGTTTAAAGCGGGGGACAATATGGAAATACCCACATTTTTGTCGGACAATATTTTACTGACGCATAATTACGCCTAATTAAGCATTCCTGAAACTTTCAGCTTGCTGGCTATCACATAACCAAAAATCATAAAAAGAACATATTTAGGGTGGGGGACAAGTGGAAATACCCAATATTTTTGTCGGACAATGTTATAGTGACACATTACTACACCTAGTTAAGCATTCCTAAAAGCATCAGCTTGCTGGTTATCAGATAACTTAAAATCATGAAATCGACGTCTTTCCCGCGGTGCCGAAGGAAAACCTCCCGCGGGCAAACTTTTTCCACGTAGAAAAGTTGTCCGACTCGTCACGCTTAAGCCATACATGAGCTTACAGCTTGCTGGTAATCATTTTTTTTTCTTATGGTTTATCAAGGACTATAACAGCGTCCACAAAAAATTTTTAAAAAATAATAAATAAAATCGAGAAAATACTATAAAACTTACGTTGCAGAACGCTATTCTCGCACTCATTCGTTCGTCCACTCGGTTCTTCGTCGCTCGTGGCCAAATTTCGAATTGGTGCGGGAAAATGTGGTCTTCTGCAACTTGTATTTTGATATACCTACTATTCCAGAAAAAGCTCATATTTTTGTTCTTCATGAGAAAGTTTTCGCCTTCAGCGAAGGAAGTGCAGAGGATGTGACTGAATTATTAAGGAAGGAACTTTAATATTGTAACAAAATATTTATGAAATAACAGAGAAAGTTTGTAGGTATGCAATAAATATTTAGAGGAAGGTAAATCCACTTGTGATATTTTTAAAAAGTGCAGATATGTATGGGATTTCGTATTTTATTTTTGAAAAAAAAAAATAAGACAATAATAATTTTAATCCTGTTAGGTACTCAACAATTCCCTTTAACAAATTTATCATTTTCTCATAAAATCAAAATCGGAGCGTTAAAGCGTACAAAGCTCATCAGGCTGGTAATAACATAAAATTTTCGCTCAAAATACAAAACAGTAAAAAATCCCCATGAAAATCAGTCCACGGAAAATATAGGTTAAATCAACGGCACTAAAATCTAATTTATTATGTGACCGTTCGGAATTTACGGGCCGATAAAAACAACCGACATCTACAAGATTTTAACGAATTAATCGTGAAAGGAAGACGACAAACATTGAATCAAGTTTGATGAGATGACTGTCGATAATTTTATTACGTGCTTGTTTTTGTGGGCTATATCGAGAAGAACCTATGTGGGTAAACTCAATTAATTTTATTACTCATATCATATCAAAATTAGACATATTGGAAAAATATGATACTTTTTTTTTTGCTATTTGCGTTTGTGTTCGAGGACAGGAAATCCATGGAAAAGTTGGAAAATACAATTTAAAACTTACGGAATTGTATCAACCATAAATTGAACATTTATCGCAACAATAAATTCTCATACTTCGACTAAAACTGAATGCCATCTATATGCATTTCTCATTTTTAGTTTTAGGATGTATCATTCCTATGAGAAACTCCTGTCTAACTTTTTAACAATATATTTTCAATTTTTCTAGGTAGATGAAGGCATCGAAGCCATGCTATGTTGTTGGCTGCAGCAGCTGCAAGAATTCGGCGGGCCCGAAGTCGAAAAGCCGGACCTGTTGCAGAACTCTGGAGGAGCCTCGGCTCGGACGCCGCTCAGGACCGGCTCCAGTCCGAATTTGGCCAAGCAGGTCATCGTCGATCCACGGGTGAGATACCACGTAAGTCAGCATCTTACTTTGCTATGTCTAATTTGACGTTATTGTTGGAAAATACCTCAATCTACATTAGGAAAAGAAATAGGTAGACATTTTCTGGATACATGAATTATGGATTACATAATTAGATGGGGGAAAAGTTGATATGTTTTATTCTTGACCTACGACCTCAAAATAGTAGATTTCGAGAGGAATCTGAGAAATGATTATAAATGGAAATTTTCATGAGTGAGAATTTTTTCATGAAATAACTTTTATTGTGTATTTTTTCTTAGAAATTGTTAGCATACCTATCTTCCATACCTTTTCAACTACGATTTTTCCTGTAAGAAACTGTACTTTACACAAAATATGATCGTTGGAAAGGTAACTGATACTTTATTCTTGACCTACGATTTCAAAATAGTAGATTTTGAGAAGGAGATGAGAAGTGATGAAAATGGAAATTCACCTACTTTTTATAAGTATTCTTTCTTCAAAATTGTCAGTAAATCTATTATACTGTAACCCCTTTTGTTAATGAATTAACAAGAGCCCCATAATATGCTCGGTTTACTCAGCGAATAATTATTAGGGGTGGGTTGATAGTTTAATAAGTCCAGAATGGCAAGGGCGCCCCTGAATTTAAAAAAATGAATAAATTATTAAAATACATAAAATATGGAAGAGGGAATATTCAGAAACACACAACACCACAAAAATAGTCTGCAGACGGTAATTGATAACTCTGAAAAAGAAATAAATAAGGCACATAACTCAACCAAATCCTGACATAGGTAAAACTAATAAAACAATTAGGTAAATTTGAAACTCAATTAGTGTATATTTTCACAGTCAGTCAAAAATCAAGCATCAAATTTTAAAAGTTAAAATTAATTTTTGGTGGAACACTTTAAATAAAATTAATAAATAGAGGTTAACTCTCAATCAGTTTCATCAAATTCAAAACAACAAAAGATAATGAGGAGAAGAGAAACGGTACAAAAAAAAAAACAACTACACAGTGAAAAGATAAAACGCTAATTTAGATATAGTTCTGGGCGGAGTTCCCGAAAGGAAGTGAGAGAGACCCTTGCATACAACGGAGATCAGCCGCTATATACAAGTTATCCGTAAAGAGGCTCAATCAAGAAGGGATAGAAAAGATATCAGTGTGCGGATGAACACATCTAGGAATGCAATTATCCTAAGAACGGATCTTTCCATTGAAATCACCGTTATTCCTCAAAGAACTACCCGACTCTTAACTCCTCCCTACCAAGCCTGTGTCAATAAGGTGGTAGGCAGCTGCTTGTCCAATTGATTTTCTCCAACGGATAAGAGAAATCACTTGAACAGAAGTCGGCAAAGCTCTTATAAGGGAAAACTTAAGATTACTTCACCCCGGAGCAATGCCGGACAGTCATAATCAATTCAAATTCAAATTTTTGGTTGTTCTTCAGTAAAGGCAAAATCTTTACTGAAGAAAAGCAATCTAGCCCTCAACCACTCCCTAATACAAACATATTGTATTAGGCCACAACGGTGACATCCTTGATAACAGCAAAATGATAGCAAGGTGAGAAAGAGAGAGATATAGATAAAGATAGAGCGGTAGGTAAGCAAAACTAGTTAATAAAGGTACAGGGAGAAATTCCGAACGAAATTCATGACGATAATGGCTGGTGACATCTAATTCTGCATCATGAACACCTGCATAAGTTATAAAGTAGGTAGAACTATTAATGATAAACGATAATTAAAATGTATAAGTTAAACGGTATGCGATAATTGGAATAGGTAATCAAGAAAATAAGATATGGCAACTTCAGCAAACTACCAGACAGAAATTGAACCCTAAGGTAACAAAATTGATAGATGAGCTGAGTCGCAGAAACTTATTGAAATCGGTACGGTACTGTGAGGGAAATAAAAATTTAATCCAAAGATAAGACTCAGTTGGAGCCACGGTAATAATGTCTTTAACGAAACAGAAGATAATGTAGGTAATGGTAAGGAAAGATAGTTGAGCTAAGGGATGAAGCGATGATAGTGTCAGGATATAAAACAAAATGTCCATATCAACCAAGATACAAAGATAACTTTTTGACAATATATACATCAATGAATAAGATAAATCGATTAGACAACGATAAAAGATATATGTCATGGCAATTTTAGGCATGAGATATGATAAAATGTCCATATCGACAACGGTAAGGTGATGTATATTATCAAAACAAAGGATAAATAGTTGATTAGATAAAGCAAAAAATTATATGATGTCATGACACTGAGGTATTAAAATCATTCAATAAGAGCAAGAAAACTTCGCTATGAAATAGGGACGAAAATGAGGCATTTCTATGGGACTTTAGGTATAAGGACAAGATTTTCCTCGGAGTGGGAAATGAGAGAAATCAAGAGCTCGCATGGGGAGGAGCGCTGTGTTCCTGAACAGTCTATCCTTCGCCGGTATCGCTAGGAAGTACTGTTGTCCTATTATTTTTCAAAAGAAAATAAAAATTTGGGATTGAAGAAATGCGAAATTAAATTTCCGGGGAAAATATCAAGAATCAATAGGTAGATGACGAAAGTATTCATTAAATTTTGCTCGATAAATTATTGAAGATATAGGAAACGATATAATTATTGTAGAAATTGAATAATTTAGATTTATTTACGTAATTCTGCTATACCTTAAGTCAAGTAGTTGAGTTATGCAAAGATATAAGGTAATAGTTATTTACATTACAAGTGCGTTTATAAACATGATTACAATAACGAGTGTGAAAGATTAGAACGACGAGGTCGTAGACCGAATCGTTCTAATCACACTAGTATTGTAGTCATGTTTAATCGCACGTGTGATGTACAACATTTTATCTATAAAGCGAAATACAACAAAATGTTTTTTTTTTTTTTTTCAATTTTCGTTTATCAGTATAGGTTTTTTACGTTATATTTAGGATGACGTCATAGAACAAAAAGAGACAATGTTGTCAATGTCTATTTTTTTTCTTATAATTTATCAGAATGTCACGTGATAGTAGACCTATCTATTTTACCAACCAAAGAGGTGATAATACGAAAACTTCATTAGATAAAAAAAGACACAGAACGCTCATTGCGCAAACGAGGCAAAATGTACCAAATTTTGTTAAACTTACGTATGGCAATCCATCCTCCTTATTTGCACGGGATAAAAAGAGAAGAAGAAAAACCGCGTGTTTTGCAACGTATATTTATCAATGAAAATTTCAAACTTTTTTTGAGTGTCACTTGTCAAGTTGAATATCAACCGTACTTTCATTTTTGTCAGACCACGAACAATGAACAAGGACAAGGAGATGTCCAGCGTGCAAAACGAAGACTTCACACCTGTATTAGTTAGCTAATAAAAAGACTTGCCTCATGTTGCGCGCGCATAGCAGGTAAAAATAGATAGGTCTTTTCTGTCAAACGAAACGGAAAATAGGTAATTTACTTACATGCCTCACAGCAGTAAGAAGCAAAAATGGTCGCGTTCCGGCTGGAAATACGTTATTAAGTATACTACCCTTTCCTGAGGCCGACTCCGACAAACCTGCTGGCATTTTCTGAGTAAGTTTACGCTACGAAGCAGTACTGAATTCTTGAAAGAACTTTTTTCTAACTGTAACGTATTTTTGGCACTTAATTAGAATTATACAAAATAGTTAATAATAAATTATCAAGATGATTGACAGCTTAAAATAACGAAATGAATCGACACGCATTATTTGAAAATGTTTATATAAATCATGCAACGTCGCGCGCCGTTGCCAACCAAAAACATCTGAAATTGCCCTACTTTAAATGCGTTGAAAAGTACTTTAATTTTGTTAGGTTGGCAGGAGAAATTTACTAAATGTGACGTCATCCTAAATATAACGTAAAAAGCCTATAGTTGTCTACCTTCGTTTTACCTTTGCAGGTTTAACTATGATATTTGTCAAATCACAAAAACTAAACTGCTGGACAAATGAAGCGGAACAAGTTAATTTTTAGGTTCATTAGGTCATTTGTCCAGCAGTTTAGTTGTTTCACAGCATATACAAAAACAATGAGCAGGCTAACTCTCATGCGCATCTTTTCTGCGCACGCCGCCACCATCCTGTCATTAAACGGCAGGGACGCCAAAATTTTATTTTATTTGTTTATTTCTGACAGAGGTCATAGGCGTGCGGTGTAGAGCGGAAGTTTAGTTATGATTTTCAAAGTGATTTTAGTATATTCGTGATGTTATTTATGGTGTTGTCTGTTATCATTGTTGTATATTTAATAATAATAATAAATTACTAATTATAAATATTATTATATGTAAGTAATAATAAATCAGTTTATTTAAAGCGAATACTACTCTGTGACACGAAAGAAAAAACCTAAATTATTGTTAATCAGGCCCTGTCTCGTATCCCAAAATGGCCGCTAGTGACATCCCGACCATGAATTCCTTTATTACACGGGCTGTCACTCAAGTTAGCCTGCTGATTGTTTTTGTATTATGCTGTGGTTGTGTTATGGATCCATAACCTAGTCTATAAAACCACTAGTTGTGTTATAAATTCATAACCTAGTCCATAACACCACTAGTTGTGTTATGAGTCTCATGAAATAACTCAAATATTAGAAAAATGGTTATGTTGAAACGTCATAATCAAACGCTTGTAGATAAAAGATAATAACAAACTGAACAACATGTTATTTCAATGATGTTAACATTTGTAATGTTTCTTGGCCCCATGTTAGGCGCCAATTTTGGTAATGAATTAACAAGAGGTCTATAATAGGCTAGGTTCGCTTAGCAAATAAATTACATAAAATATGGAAGGGTGAAAATGCAGAAACACACCTAAAAAAATATAATCTGCACACGGTAATTGATGGTTTTGAAAAAGAAATAAATGAGGCACATAACTGAACCAAATCCTGACATATGTAAAACCAATAAATTAAGTAAGTTTCAAATTAAATTAGTGCATATTTTCACAGTCAATCAAAAA